GGAGGCTTAAACGAATTCAGAGAATTGGTAGGAAAATGTGATGGGAAGCAAGTGCAAGTATAAAAGGAGTTCATAGCAGTTTCATCTCCTTAAACAGGCTAAGTTAAAGACAGGCATGCAATTATCCTAGAGTAGAGAGAGTCTAGAAACTATAAGTAGGGATGAATTTGATTAAGTAGTGAAATCATCAATGATCTCAAACAGGAGGGAATGTACAGAATGTTGAAAATGTATCAAACTATCAAGGGCATAAAAATAGCTTAAAAACTTAGGCACAAAATCAGAAATGTCAAGGTAGAAAATGAGATACTTCTGGCAAAAGTTTGTGAAGGGGAAGAAAGAATTTTAATGGAGCAGTCACCACAAAAATGTTTAAGTCAGCTACAGCTATAGTTTTTTCAATAAGTTTTGCTGCCTGTTCATTGGTAACTCAAATTTTTCCTTAGTCTTTCTCTCAGTACTAAGAAGAGGAACTCTCAGTACTAAGAAGAGGAATTTCATTTACAGAATATTTTCAGAATTAGTCTTTGGCTCTCAAAGGATTGGCTCAGACAACCTCAGAATCTTGAGTGGTTATTTCTGAGAATATAAAAAATGAGAAGATTTTAGAAAAATGAAAAAGGACTGTCCTTAAAAAGATAAACAAGGATGACATGACAGCCAGTTCACCTTCCTAGAAAACTACTGTAAGAATAATCAACTATCAAACTATCTTCGTATCTGAAAGTCATCTAACATGGATTCATGGAGAGCAAATCCTGTGACACAAACCTATATTTTTTCTGCATTAAGAAGACCTTGTAAATAGGAAAGATACAGTAGAGGTTTTGTGCCTTGACTTCAGTAAGTCTTCACTGCTATCTGATAACATTCCTATATGTGAGCTAATTGAAACGTAGAATGCATTAAACTACTGTTGGGTATCAGGAGAGGAAAAACATGCTCACTATACCAGGATTATTCAGCCCGAAAAAAGAGAATGCTATGTTCGGAGCTAAAATGTGAATAAGAAAAGCAATTAAGAAAATTAATGAATTAAGGAAAGACTTAAATAAAAACAAGTTCAATTTTAGTTTTAACATCAAGAAAAGAAAACCTTCTGTTGCTGTGGACAATGAAGCATTGCATAAATTGTATAGGAAAGCTGGAAGTTTGTAAACCGTGTAGCTGCAAGAAATGAGTTAGCTGTCACTGATTCTGCTCTGGGCAGGGAAGTTAAGTAAATAATCTTCCCAAATCCTCTACAGCCCTATTTTGTATTTATTTTCCATAATATTTACCTCCTTAAATCAACCATGATTGGTTGCTAACTTCCACTGTGTTAAACTTATTAGAACTCCTTGTACATACTTTTCTGGTTAACTTGTAAAGGAGAGGATGATTCTGCTAGCCTTATGCAAGTTCTACTGAAAAATCTTACGTTTTAGATAGTGGTTTGTATTATTTTCTTAATTCTACAGGGAGAAAACTGAAAAATCTGTGTTTAAATTGTTTGCAGTATTAAATCCAACAGGGCCCATACCTATGACTAAGAAGTCAAAAGTTACTAAGTAATACCAATAATAATAAAATAGTATTGTCACAGCTGCTTTTTTTTTCCTATTGGGTGCAACACTTGGAGAACAAAATATTCAAGGAACTTTTGTACCCTCCTTAAAAAAAAAGGTTAAGTGTCCACAAATACGCTTTTGTCCTCTTTCCTGAATGTCTAATATTTTATTCAACCAAATTTTTCAGTCTTCTTGTCTTGACACCCTTTTTATTGGGGAAGGGGTGTAGATCTGAGAAGTGTGTGTTATCCTAAGGCCTCCCAAAATGAGTTTGTTCTTCACACGGAGGGCCTGTAAAGCTCCTTGCCTTAATTTGCTGAGGATGCTAAAGGCTCACATGGGCTCAAAGGAAGACTGGATAAGTTGTGGAAGAGTAATCCATGGATGGTTGTTACATACAGTAAAGGATGCATCTGGCTCAGGAAGTCCCTAAATTGTTTGGAGCCTAGGAGGCTATTAAGAGGAAGTATCAGATAGGCATGCCCTCTTCTTTGCCCTTCCATCATGGATACTTACGGCCGCTGTTGAGAACAGGATACTGGACTAGATGGATCATAGGTGCAATCAAATCTAGCCATACCTGTGAATCTGGAGCCCCAACCAGAGGATATTCCCACCCATTGCAGTACAGCATCATAATGTCTCTCCTGCACCATGAAAGAAGCAATGGATCAGGATAACACAGAGCTGGGGAAGCTGTGTTTTGCCTGGAGGGGGGGCATGGCAGCACAAAAGACAAGGGATGATGCTGAATGAAAGAGAATTCTGCCTGTAAAGAGGTTTTAGATGAGAGTCTGCTGTGTGAGTCTTCTTTTTTCTTTTTTTTATTTTTTCCTTCCTCCTAGTGTATGAAACTTGACAGGACACTTTCTTGAAAGATGTCGTAAATGTGTGTCTCTTGCCTACAGTACATGGGGTTATGCATTAGTCTTTTAATCCTATAACAGAAGATCCTTTTATTCCTATTCAGTATTTTGAGTTCCTTATGGATAGATTAAAAAAAAAAGATAAGCATTTTTGTATTTAAATTTGTATTGGATTGTATTATGTAAAGTTTAAATGTAGCTGTTTCTTATTCAGTGTGTGGAGATTACTGTTTGTACTTAGCTGGTTGTTGACGATTGTGCTGGGAACATTTGGAATAAATAGTTGTTGTGGAGCAAATATCAACAGCATTGACTCATCTCCATTAGCATGTACTTCATGAGCTCTTACCCTTGAGAACTTTCTTTATTTAGTTTTACTATTCTCAGATTATTCTTCGTTATTTAGTCTCCTGGGTAGCTTCTAAATATGCAATATTTTTAAAAAATTTACTTCAGTTCCATGTGACAAATTGAAGAGTAGAGCTTTATTTTCATCAGAGTATTACTACCAGTTTTCCTGTCATGTAATAACTTGCTACTGCTCCAACATCAACTCCTCATCCTCAACTCCAGTTGCCTCAAGAAACATTGTCTTGAATATTGCTGATAATCACTGATTCAGAAGGAAAGGAATAGAAGGCACCATGTTTACTGTAGGAATGAACAAAAATCCTAGCTCTAACGCTGCCTTTAAAATCTCAGGTCTATTGTCTTTTTGTGGTCCAACATGTAATGTGACACTCTCATATGCTAAGTATGGGGTTCCTAATTCAAAACGAACAGGAACGATAAGGCATATCCTTTAAGACTTTTGTCTTAAAGTCTGTTATTTCTAGTTTTGGTGAAAACCAAAACTCAATTTCATAACAAAGCTTCACTTTGTCCTTTTAGTCCCGACTTTCCCTTGCTGAGGAATTTGGTTTTGGACTAGTTACCAAAATAGTGGCAGAGATGCCTCTGTTTCTCTGGCTAGCATTTATTCCGTCCTTTGATTTGGAAGGTTATCAAGGAGATGCTTTGAGGTGCTGATGGGGAAGAGTGTCACTAACTACTTGTCAGGAAAGAAGGAAGGAGGAATTGGCCGTTGGCCTAGTCCTTGTAGCAGCTTTTTTTTGAAGGAAGCAGGCTGTCAAAAATGGTGCAAGGAACAGGAATCAGAGAAAAGGGATACAGAAAAGCTTACATGTAGTTTGCAGATAAGGTGCTAGAGATAACATCTAGAAATGTGCAATAACTGTTTATTTGATTTGTAGGGAGTTCATGCATTGTGACTGATTTCTTGGTTGTGTCTGTGTTGCAGGTCTGATGATGGTGACCACGGTCAGACATAGCCCAGGGATTGCAGAGCAGGGCTGTAGCGATAGAGCAAGTGCAGGGTCTGGGTCAGGGAGGTATGTGGCCAGGCACAGGCATAGCTATGGGGTAGCAGAAGCAAGGACCAAGAAAGAGTGAGGCCTGAGCTTAGAAGCAGCTCCTGAACAAAGCAGGAGGCAGGTCTCTGCCAAGTCTTCTTGAGGTTGGACACCTCTTTCCTGAACAGCTCTGCCTTCACAATGGTCAGCTTCACAACAACTGCCAATCAGAGCTGGCCTTGAGCATGGCAGCTAAACTCCTTTGGAGCAGGAGCGCTCTCTGGGCCCTGACAGTATGCAAAACCGGTGCTGGTATGCACAACATTAGTGAAAAGAGGAATTTTAGAGAAATAGTAATAAGCATAATGAATTGTTTAGAAAATTCGTAATTGCAGGAAACAAAGGGTTGCTGCTGTGGACCTTAATGCTTCAAAATAACCTGACTTCTTGTGAAGTAGCATTAATTCATGCAAATTAACACATTGTAATCTGTCTGTATAATTTTTCAGTTTGGAATTAACTGGTAGAAACAAGTGTATGATTCAGCTTTTAGGCATCCTTTTAAAAGTATTTAAACAATACTTGGTTGCTTCACCAGAAACAAGAACACTTTCCCTCACGTGTGGAAATTTTAAATTAAACACGTTTGTTTGCTACTATGTTATCATGCTTAAATAGTTATTATTCTACTGCAAAGCTTGATAGGTCTCACCAGAGCTGGTTGATTTTGTTTTTTCTGGGCCATTTCTCACTGCAGCCCTTGTTTTGTTTCAGTTATTTTGTGAAGAGTGCCATAACATGCAAATTTAGTTTTCCATTTGAAATACTTGTCACAAAAGAGAATGCACTAATGCATTGTGAGGCCTTGTATTAATTTCCAGAACCCTCAGCATTTGTGTTTCTTCTGCTCCTTGGTTTATTCTAGATATTTACCCTACAGTGGATTTTGGCAGAATATTTACCTCCTAATATATGATCTCTTTAACTTCTCATCTCCTGTTCCTTGCTATGTTGCCTTATACTTTCAACCTTGTGACATTTGCTTGCTGTTCCTTCATCATCATCTCACCTTTCTCCATGTCCTTGGGGATGTTTGGGGTGCAGGAGGGGAGATAGCCTTCTGGAATAATCTTTCCACCTTTGCTAAATCACACTGTGAGACTGATTTCTTATATGTTGCTTACAAATAGTTAGTGACCTAATTACAGGTGATTTGTTACATTTACTTACAGAAAAGAACATTAACACTTTTGGAATGCTGCTGCTCATGTCGTACAGGAAATCAGCTTATATTCAAGTAGTGCTGGCACTTTGTAAGTGGGCTATATATTTATTTCTTCTCTTTCCTCGTTATTCTGTACGTTGCTTGTCATATGCTGCTAATAATATTGGTCAGATAATATAACTTAGTATCATTCTAGGATATATATATCCTTTATAATAATTTATTCATTAATTATTATAATTGGTTTAAGAATACTCTTTTAAATACAGCTCCTGAGAATGAGAGGCTCCCATCTACGAAGTAGTTTCACATTATGATGGGGAAAGCATAGTTGCAAATAAAACCTCTAGGCGATCTTTTGACACTGACTGATGAGTAGCAGCCAAAATGACAGAAAATCACACATAAATATTTTCCAAACCTTTAATGTAAATTAGGAATGATTACAAGGAATACAAGCCACCTCGGTGTTACTGGAAGGGTAGGCTGTACAACTTACTATTACTATTAATTTCCTGTAATAAGGCTGCATTTTTAGTTTCTTGAAAGTTTGCCAAAGGCTAAACATATGGGCTGATATTTTCCATGTCATGTGCCTGCCCTAAGGTTCAATTATTTTAGAAACATTTAGCCCCACATGGTTGACCTATATATGAGAAGAAGACTAGATTGCAAATGTCTGTCTTGTAGTGATAAGGAAAAAAACCCTGAAGCTCTGTTAATTATATTTCATATACACTGTAAGTTTTTAGTACTACCTCACTTCATATTGTTATATACAGTATAATTTTAGCATCCATATTCTGTAGCAAGAATTTCAAACTTGACAGAGAAGTGATTTCCGTAAGCAAGCACCTTTTGGGTTGTGAGGAATCTACTCAAATGTGTCTAAGCTAGAAAGTTTTGAAAAAGCCTGTGTGTTTAGTTTAGCAGCTAAAAGCTTTGAGGTACTCTATTACTGGTAGGGAGTGACTACTCTTAGTTTTCTTGCAGCTCCTACTGCAGGCAAAACAATGCTCGGTTACTACAGAGAAGCCAGACATAAGCCTGGCTGGAAGGAGGACAGAAGTCTGTTTCTCCTCTGCTAATAACTAAGGCAGCTGAAAATCATAGACCTCACATGACTTTCAGTTAGAGAAAAAGGAGCAGATTGTGGCTTTGTAAGCCTGGGGAGCTTACAAAGCCACAATTTGCCAAAATTTTTAAGCCTGGGGAGACTAAAGCTGAATCAGAGGGGAATAAAAACTTGGAGGAGGAAAAAGGGAATGGAGAATGGGAAGATGAAGAAAAAACAGAACTAGCTAGACAAGGGATTGGAAACGAGTGAGTCGGAGGGAGGAGGTGGCAATCTTAATCTCCGATTTGGATACTTGATTTTGCAACATCCATAATGTTTACTTTAAGTTTGTGTATGTGCATCTGTCATTTTCAGTGTTTCTGTTCCAGTCTCTCCCAGATGGCCACGTAGGTGTATAAGTAGATCTGTTGTTTCGTTTTGTTTTGTTTTTTTGTTTTGGTCTGCCTAAAAAAGATTGTATTTTGCTTCTCCAGAAGCATGATATAGCTTGGATAAGATCTCACTGACACTATTATTTATTAATTCCAGGAGGTTTGTGAGAAATTGCTCCTGAGATATGCTGCCATTAGATCCGCATTTAAGCCCAGAAAATATAAACAGTATTTTGTGACTACAAGTATTCAGACGTTTACATTGGAGTGCTAGCCAAGTGGCCGCTTTTAAAGTGTTTAAATAACGATGACATGGTATTCTCAGGATAGGTTACAGCCTTGTGCTGCTATGGGGTTTAAAGTTTTACTGAATATTTTTACTGAATATTTTACTGAAGCTTTATTATACTCTCACCATGTACTCATTTTGTGCTAGCAGGTGTTGAGAATTAGGCCCGTGTACAACAACACTGGGAAATGTTGGAAATGCAAGATGACAGAATCATTTCTGCTTACAATGTTACGTTTAGCTCATACCTCTCACATGTAAACCTGTGGGTGATGGTTAGTGAGTGGATAGTTAACAGTGAGATTAGAGCTGAAATAGATTTACTAGTCCAGCTGAGCTGGGCACTTTGGGAAGGAAGTGAAAATTCATGAGTCCCCTGCTGTTTAGCTGAGTGGCTTAGGGTGCATCATGCTGACTGAACTGGCATGTCTGAGCTGTTCGCACAGTAGTCAGCATGTTTTTTATTCTGCAGACACAAGTCGATTTTGTCAGGCAGCAAAATCTCTTATTGTGATGTTTTCCTCTCTCTCTCTCTCTCGTCTGACCCTAATGCAAATTAAGCCTTTATATTTTTTGTTTGATATATCTTTCCTTAGAGAAGAAGATTGCCTACTAAAAAGTTCAGATGAAGCAAGCAACTTCACCTTTTGCTTTTACTGCGTTTATGCCTGTATATAATCAGGCCAGAGTTTGTGAGGCAGAAGAATAATAAATACATGTTCTTGCTCTAAACAGAATATTCTGCCTTCCGTTCAGTCTCCAATACAACTCTCAGGGGATCCTAATGTTTGTCCCAAATGTTTAATATGGACATCTATTTCCTTAATCAGCTAGAGGTATTTCCTGTGTTAAACCAGGAAAGCAAGTAGCTGGAACCTGGAAACTAGCAGAGCAGAATACTGTGTGTGTTTTTAATTGAAAGGGAACTGAACAGAATCTTTCACTTGGATGAATACGGCTCAGCAACATCTGAAATCATTTGAAGGCAATCTTAATATTCACTACCTTGGGTTCTTGCCTACATCTTTAGTATGTGTGAAAGAAGGTAAAGAGGACTACAAAATCTGCAGTTGGGACACATGGGTAATCATTGCAAATATTATGTGATGTGATACTTTCACCTACACAAGTACTGTCACTAGTCTTTACCAGGAAAGCACATAGAACTGCAGATGGAAAATATTGCCTGCTTCACAGAGAGTTTTTGACAGTCCATTGCTTTCTGAGCCCAAGGCAGGATCATAAGTTGACAGGATACCTTTTTTTGATGTCAGCTGCCACTCAAACAGCAATTTTCATATCTCTTTGTGCAATCAAGATGAAACTTCCTGAAAACGGCCTTATTTTGGATACTATAATTAGTTAGCCTTGAGTTTTCCCGGAGCTGCCATCCCCAAATCGTCTGTTGCTTTATTCCACTTGACAAAAAATGCTTATTAGACCAAAAAACACCTTGTGTATCTTTGAGCAGTCATTTTTTAGAAATCTGCAAATGAGTTACCTGTATGAGTATGATTGACTAGGTGGCAAAATTCCTCTACTTCTTGGGTTCAGAAGGAGGGTAACTGGTTAAAAAGGACATCTGCAATTGTGTTCTACTCATCATTTCCTTAGGTTTAAAACAACAAGTTAGCTAGCACTATTTTTGATGGGCGCGTAAAGTTAGATCTAAAGTGCATATAAATTAAATATATATAAAATGACAATGCAAAAAGCGTTACTTCCGGTCACCCAAGTGCTGCACGGGCAGCTTCCCGATGTCTGTTCATATTTACTGTGCTCATATAGTGTTCAAGTTCCCAAGCTGACATGGAAGAGAGGCTCCTACACCAGTTTAGATGTCACAGAGATTAGTCTAGTGAGATGCCACACAGTAAGTCTATATTGCTGGGCTAGCTCCTTCACTTAGAACAATAGCTGGAGAACTCCCTAAAAGTCTGTTTATAGACCCAATTTTCTGTTTATAGACCCAATTTTAGAGATCTGACAGTTTCTAGAAAAACAAAATTATCTTTGAAGAATGGCTATTCACCAGTTTTTTTCATATTATTATTATTATCATTATTATTTTTTCATATTATTCATATTATTATTTCAAGGCCACATGGCCTTGAAATGAAGATGCATTTTTTCCCCACCTAAAATCTATCTCAGTGTCAGTGCTACCACTTAATTTAACGTATGCCAACACAAATCAAACCTTTTCACAGTTTGAGCTATGGTAGTGCCACAAATGCATATGGCGCTGGTATAGTGTCAAGGCCTTGTGTACACTAGTAGATCTTAACTGCCCTGACCAGCCCCACCTGAGGCATCCATTTACATGCTCCCGAGGAGATGCATTTAAGCTCCTGGTCACATGAGCCTTGTCTTAGCTGTATCAGCTGTCTGGGCTTCCTGACTGGTTTTCCTAGATAGACCATGGACGTCTGTCATAGGTAGTTTTGTCTCCAGTGCTGTTTTTGGCCCTGTCTCCTTCCGTTCCTGACTGAACTCCCTGGATAGACGCTGTATCTGATTCATCGTCTCAGCTTGTCTGGGCCCCTGGAAGGATCCTATTGCTATCACCAACCCATCCCTGTTCAGATACAATAGGGCTGTGGCCTGCTTCGTGAGGTCCCCTTTGGCTCCTGGCTGGTCCCCTCTCTTGGAACCACTGTCTTGCTGCTCCTTGACACACAGCTCAAAACATGAAGCGTCCAGTTACTGCAAAGGGAGGCATAGTTGGATATCAGGAAGATGGAGCAAGGAAAGGTCATGAAGGACACTAAATGCTATCCCTGTAATTACTCGGAGTTGATGCTTTGCAGACAGGCTGAGTATCTTATACTAGTATCAGAACTCTGCTTTTCAGCTTTACTGATGTTTATGTTTAAAAAATACATAATGTGAAATGATAAACATTTTATTGGTTGTCATAGTACATACAACGTATGCAGGCGTCCTATAAATAGTAAGCACAATTTAAAAAGAGAGAGATGGAGAATGTCAGCATCCTCAGAAAGCTAAACATCTTTATTAAACCTTTGTGACACTTTCTGTTTTATCCTCACCAAAACAAAATCACACTGATATAAAGGGGAACGCCTCCTCCCTCCAGACAATTACTGCTACAGTCTGCTATACAATGTTGCTATATCACTACTATTGTATGTGTCATAGTGAAACTTACTTTCTCTTGGTGCTATTCCCAAGATATCTGAAACAAACTTATATGTCATTTCAGTATTCGCAATTAATCAAAAGAAAGCATCCACCAAAAATATTGATGCCATATAGAAAAATGCATATATACATTCTAGTCCTTTCTTTTCCCCTACAGAGAAACATCATTTGTCAGGTAAAGGAGATTTGAGGCTGCAGTTTGGCAGAAAGAAAAGGGATAGCACTATATACAACAAGAAGAAAGCATTTCCTGCTACTTGAAAGTGTGAAAATGTTTTTTCCATGGGAAGAAATTACAAAACAAATAGAACTAATAGACCTCTAACCAAAACCTAATCTGGCAAAAATGATTGTGCTCTTATTTCGTTACTAATTCTGGTTGGTTCAACAATATTGATTTTTATAAGGATATACTTTTTATAAATATTTCCTTTGAGAAATAGAAATCAAGTATTCAATAGAGAGTCTACAGAAGCCATCCACTCACAAACTTAAAATTAGTTGTATTATTTTGCATTAGAATTTTTGCCTGGTTGAATAATGGCTGTCTTTCATAAATACAAATCATGAGGCAAAATAGTGTTACCTCACTCAGACTGGAATTCAATTAGGATAAATTTAGCAATGTTCATTTAATCCAGAGATATATGAGTGAAATTCAGCACAATAAAAGAGCTTGTCAATGGGACTCTATTAATCCAAAGCAAAGGGAGAGAAGCCAAATGATCAAAAACAGGCTGAAGCAAAAGGAAGGAATGAATATATGACAGAAATGAATGATTATTATTAACGTGTGGTAGAAAATACCCTAATTTGGGGAAAATAGGAAATGAAGAAATGATAAAGCAAGTACAATTTTTCATATCTCATCAGTGAAACTCATTTGATGTAACATAAAACTTTAAAAATAAATTCTACAAAAGGAAAAGGAAACCACAGTTTATTTTGAGCTAATATGTGTATCAAAAAGGCTTTTTATGTTTTCAAAGGGCCAGACTTCAGGTTCTCAGGTATCCGTTGCTTCTTGGTGTTTGTGATGTGTTTGCATCTCTTCTTGAACCTCTAGCATAGCTAGACACAGGGAAAGCTATTGTCGCTTAGGCCATCCTGGATTTTGCCACACTGTTTTTATACAATCTTTTTTTTTACCTCCTCCATAACAGTTTTTGTCTCTGCAGCTCCACTAGGCTTTTCACCTGCCTTATGAAGGGTAATGCCTGTAAGTGAAGAGCTCTCAGCCTTGTGCTAGATAGGGGAAACCAAAATACTATTTCTTTTCAGGGAGAGATGTTTCAAATTAAAGATGTTTTCAAACTCAATTCAGAGGGAATAGCTCTGGGAGGAAAAATATCAGATCAAGTTTTATGCTTCCTTGGTGAGACTTAAAATATGCAAAGTGATTCTTCAAGAATCTGTTAATCTTTCAAACAATTTCAGTTTTGCAAATGTTTTGCTAGAACTATTTTAGGCTCAGAGATGCATTTTGAGATGTGGTGGATGCAGTTCTCTTACTCCTTAACATTCATTATTCCTGCCATATGCTTCAAAAGTTTATTAAGCTTTATTGCTAGCAAGTTGACTGTGGAATAGCATTAATTTTTGGGTCAAGGGCAGAAGAGACACCAGTTATTACTTTAGGGCAAAGCCCTTTAATTACTAAGTCAGAAATTCATCTTACTCTTTCTTCTTACTGGAAATCAGCCACAATGTTTTCTCCCAAGCTGATCTTTTGAGCTTTGAATAGCAGCATTAGATATTTCCTCACATCCTCAGCAAATATCTTAAGTCTTTCTTGTATATTCCTAATTTCTTATTACTAAGAATATAAAAATAGTTAAAATATGAGAGGGATATTACATATTATTTTAGGTGGCTTCATTCAACAAGGTTGTATCAGAGTTTCCTCCTATTGAATGAAACTGTACAATTAAATACCGTCTCTCTACTGTGAACATATGATTTGAGATTTCTTGTGGTATGTTATTTGTTACTTGTTAAGGTTCTTAGAGTTTCTAGCAAAATAAACTATGTCATCTGAAGAGTAATGCCTCTTGGATAATGGGAGATTGAAATAGATGCCTAAAAAAAATTAAATAATTCTGCTCCCTTGGTCTGCTACTGCTAGAGTCAGTTATTTATCTATAATTAGAATTAATGCAGCTCAGTTCTACTACTTTTACTTGTGCTTAAATCAATAAAGCCTTTTCTGTCTAGGAGATTACAAAAGCTGGAGTTACAAACTATGTATAAGTTTTCTTTTATAGCAAGAATCAGTGTAATGTGAAGACAAGTGACAGAGCACGGTCCAAAAAAATGTTATATGAAAACTCCTGGTAAAATAATGATCTTCCAGTATTTAGAATTGCTTCGTGAATATTACTCAGTATATCAGGCTACTGTGAAAAGAGCTGAATTCAGGCAGATAGAATGATCCTAAACGATTTAGGAATGCTTACATGGCATTTAAATATGTGACGTACCCCAAACCTAGCTTTAAAATACTTGGCTTACATACAGTTTATGTGCGTGAGACTCTTTGTAGGCTGCAAAATCTTGCTAGGACATTGATAATAAATACTGAGCTCTAGGCTGCTATGGTAACAATGGTAGCAGTACATGACCTGGCTAATTTTAGACTAGCTTGTGTATGTCTACAAAGATTGCAGTTATAGTATTGCCTATAGTAAAATCATCTTAAATCACTTCAAGGTCTTAAAATATGAAGCAAATCCTTAATACCTAAAAGTGATGTTTAGAAGTATGTGATGTGTAACTGGATGTTCCTGCAACTTTAGCCTTTTTTTTTTCTTTTTGCTGTGTATTCTAAGATGTATTGCAGTAATCAAATGCGAGGCATAAAAAAGGTTGATCTCCATGACTAGGAACACATACGTGAGATAAAACCAATCTATTTGAGATTTCTTCCACTGTTTAGTAGATTGAAAATCCAATAATCTCATTGACAAGAATGTTAATGTCCATAATTCCCCTTGGAGAATCAATGAAAATGTTAACATTGGTATAATATTCACAGACAATGCTTATGACATGGAGATGGGAACTGAGCTTCTAATTTTTACACCAATGGGGTGTATATAGCATAGTGAAGTGAAGGAGGTCACCTTGAATTACAACAGATACATGCCACACAGTGAGTTCTTAGGGCTGGGCAGAATGACAAAATACCTTTTGCAGGTAAGCCGAAGATAGCTTAAAGCCTTCAGCAGCCAGCTTTGATTTTCCCTGCCTTGCTGATGGCACATTGAAATTATAGTTTGTAGTTCTAAACTAATGTTAATAAAACTATTGTACTGCCAATGAAAGAAATTATCGGGATGCTTGAGAAAATGAATGAGTTGAGCTGAACAGTATGAGCTGCTGCTGAAGACATAGTCTGACCCAGTTAAGAAAAATGGGTTATTGAATTGTATATTAAGGAGTGATTTAACAAAATATACTTGCCAATCTGAGTGATCCTAATGGTTTCAGTGAGCTATTTGTGCTTCCCATTTTGGAAGGTGCTTGAGAAACTTGTAGATTCGAGGGCCTAAGAGAATTATGCTTATTTTATTTACCTAACACTGCTCCCACTATTTTAATTTAAATAGCGATTAGCCTTTATCTCACTGCTGAAAATAATTACAATTCACTTGCCAACAAATTAGCTAAATATCCTCATTTTGCACCCCTTATTAATGTTCCATCCTGGCTCTGCTAAGTAACATTGTCGTTGCCTAAGCTACCTTGTACACAGTGAGGTGCCTTTTAAGGAGGACTTCCTGTTATATTTTCTAACACAGCGCAAGAAATCCAGCACTAACTGACTTTTACAAAGACAAGAAAGACACAACTTGATTTATAAAAGGCTTAAATTAAAGCATTGTGTAAGTACATACATGCATTTCCGCATGAGTTCCAGAGCCTGCACAAGACTGTCCATTTCAGCAGGGATGGATCCTAAATGGCTCAAGTGACAGTTGCCGATAAACAGCACGTGATTAGAGCAGAGAATACAATAGTATCCACACTTAAGGTACAAATACAGGAAGAATTTGTTGAACACTGGAGGTATGATGGAGTTACTCCTCCGTATAGTAACAGCACTGGTATTGCCCGATTATAATTTAGGGGATTTTTTTTTCCTTTTTGGTGTTTTGTATAAGAGAGCTCTTTTAGTGGGTTGGCATGCATTTTATTGCTTCTGGGGTAGATGCTGACTTGATGCTTTCAGAAGTATAACTGTAATGCAGTTCTGGGGAATTTGATCCAATAACACAGGTGCTTTCTTTCAGGATTGCTGTTTGTTCCTGGTTTACCTGCAGTGGGGAGATATTAGGAGGAATAGGAAAGCGGTTCTGTAGGTAAGAAACAAGGAAAAGTTTTGTTGCTCAGATAAGAGCAGCAAGTATAATTTCTTTTTCATTTTTTTACAATGTGTTTGTTCTCTGCTAAGAGTGAACCTCACACTTTTGGGTTTTAGCAGCTATTTTGTTTATTGACTTTGTCTGTCGGTAATGTAGTTTTTGCATTAATATTTTCATGAGCATGCTCTTGACGTTTTTATTAAACGATAATGCAGTAAGACAGTGTTTATAGATCTCTGAACTTTATTTTGTATTTTTAGTTTATGAAAAGTGGTTAAATATTTCCAAAAGAGTATCTTAATATACAAATATACATACGTTTGTGAATTGTTAGTAAAATCAGTACATCACGACAACTTTTCTAAGGCCTTCAAAATTTTGATCTGCCTAATAGTCACAGGAATAACATTATTTTACAGGAACATAGCTCCTTTAAGGAGCTATGTCAAGTACAGAAAGAATATATTTTAATTTTTTAAAACAGCAGGAAGCAAGAACAACAGACAGAACCCTAAATTTTTCAAAGCAATATCATTCCATTAGTGACGGGAATATTGTGCAAGGCATGAGGCCAAGCTAAGCCTAGTTTAACTGGTGGTAAGTCTGATGGTGGTAGCAAGATGACTGATGTTCACATTTCCTTTGTCATGTGATGATTTTTTATCCATTTATGTATTTTTGTGATTAGAAGTTTTCCGTTAATACCCTTTTCTTCTGTTGATTTCAGCACAAGTTAATAATGCTCATCTTTTTATTTCAAATATTTTTGAATCAAGATCTTAGAAAAGTGATGTTCATAAAAGTCCACAGACTTTAACAAAAATCCACATCACTCTGCAGAGTGCTATCACAGTAGTTTTTACTTGCAAAAAATTAAAAATTCATTTTTTAAAAAAGTTATGCAACAACTTTTTTTTAATCACTCTCCACCATTTTCTTTACTTATTTACAGGTATACAGCACCAGATGGACATATGCGCATGTGTGCATAAGTAGTTGTTCCCATCCTGCATACCTTCTTCTCTAGTCTACAGATCACTGGTATACATACCACAGACTGCAGTTGAGAAATACTGCATATAGCCTGTAACATGCGTGCTTTCCATATGTTGTTATTATATTTGTACACTACTAGTTTACACTTTGTTTTACTCTTTTGGCTGCAGCAGCAACCTACTGTAATGGTGAAACACTGCTAGGACTAGTTCTGCCTAGAGGCTAATATCTATGCCATAGGCTCATTGCTGCAAGGGCATTGAAGACATAGGTTATGGTGTTACAGTAAGGATAGGTAAATAATTTGTTTAGTAGCCATTGTTTCCTCTCACATTGACTTGTAATACATAGTTTTTCTCAGAGTCTTTTCCAAAACTTTTATGTTTGAAAAACATAAGTTTATTAATTGAGAATATATTTTTGGAATATCTTCACTGCTGAATAAAAGTGATAACTGGACAGGGAAAGGAAGTGATATTAATACCTTATTTTTCCCTTATACCCTATACCATCTACTTTAGTACTTAAGAATTAACAAAGGTTGTAAGATATCTATGTTCAGATCTTCTCTAATGGAATGTTAACAGTGAGATCGAACATCAGCCTTCCAACTCATAAAATGCTGCCCAGCTGTTCTTAAAGGACTCTGCCAAACTGTCTTCTTGTTGCATTTACATACTCGCTGTGGACAGGAGGCAGCCCTGGCTCTGGTCTAACAGGCTAGCAGTGGTGTCACCTTGCTTTCACTAAGCAGTCTTCTCATGGGTTTGAGGATGAGCCTAAAGTTTTTTCACTGATTATTTTTTGTAACTAAAATATCTCTCAGGTTATGATGAAATTTATTTAGCAATAATATTTTCTACTTATGCCATTTGATATTCTTACCTCTCAGTTGTTCAGAAAGAGGGATAAACATAAAAACATGGAGAGACAGAAGGCAAGGTGGACGAGTGGCACAAAAGATTATGTAATTCTGAGGAGTGTGCCTATTACCTAAATAGTATGACAGAATCACAAAATGATTGAGGTTGGAAGGGACCTCTGGCAATCATCTAGTCCAACCCTCCTGCTCAGGCAGGGTCACCTGGAGCACATTACCCAGGATTGTGTCCAGATGGCTTTTGAATATCTCCAGGGAAGGAGACTCCACTACCTCTCTGGGCAACCTGTTCCAATGCTCAGTCACCCTCACAGTAAGGAAGTTTTTCCTCAGGTTCAGACAAAACTTCCTGTGGTTCAGTTTGTGCTCGTTGCCTCTCGTCCTATTGCTGGGCACCACGGAGAAGAGCCTGGCCCCATCCTCGCGACATGCTCCCTTCAGGTACTTATACACATTGATCAGATCCCCCTTCAGTCTTCTCTTGTCCAGGCTAAACAGGCCCAGATGCTCCAGTCCCCTCATCATCTTTGTAGCCGTCTGCTGGACTCTCTGCAGTAGTGCCATGTCTCTCTTGTCCTGGGGAGCCCAGAACTGGACACAGTACTCCAGGTGAGGCCTCCCCAGGGCTGAGTAGAGGGGCAGGATCACCTCCCTTGATGTGCTGGCGACAGTCTTCCTAATGCACCCCAGGATTCCATTGGCCTTCTTGGCCACAAGGGCACATAGCTGGCTCATGCTCAACTTGTCCACCAGCACTCCCAGGTCCTTCTCGGCAGAGCTACTTTCCAGCAGGTCAGCCCCCAGCCTGTACTGCTGCATGGGATTATTTCTCCCTAGGGGCAGGACCCTGCACTTGCCTTTGTTGACCTTCAGGAGGTTCCTCTCTGCCCAGCTCTCCAGCCTGTCCAGGTCCCTCTGAATGGCAGCACAGCCCTCTGCTGTGTCAGCCACTCCTCTCAGTTAGTATCATCAGCAAACTTGCTGAGGGTGCACTCTGTCCCTTCCTCCAGGTCACTGATGAACAAAACTGGACCCAGGACTGACCCCTGGGGGACATGGCTAGCTACAGGCCTCCAACTTGACTCTGCGCCATTCACCACAACCCTCTGAGCTCGGCCATCCAGCCAGTTCTCAGTCCACCTCACCTTCCACTCATCTAGCCCACGCTTCCTGAGTTTACCTACAAGGATGTGATGGGAGACAGTGTCAGAAGCCTTGCAAGTAAGTGCCCAACAGACCGTTACATTAGAAGGGGAAATGTATTCTTGCCTCAAAATTAGCTTAAAAGCTTACGGACATGTTTGTGGAGCTTTCACTTTGGAATTAAAAATCATAACTGAACTTGTGTCAGCAAGATAACATTTTAGGCATATTGGAACAATTCCTGAACTCATTCAGAAAGCAGCCTGCACAAACGGGTTGCATGAGCAAGCAGTTAGCACAGCAAAATCCCTTCTGCATTTAAGGAAAATAGGAGGTTGTACTTTCTGCTAACACACATACTCAGAGGATCTAAAGAAGCTATTAGGAAAAGAGGTATTTACCTCATCGGAGGGATAAGATCCAAATACCAGCTGACCAGCTTTTACTGCGTATACAGTAGTTAGGTCTTTGTGTGCTCCCCCGTGAAGTTTGTAGGAATTTTGAAAATAGGTAAGCACAGGCAGCTATTGAATTTGTAAGAACATAAGCAAGAAATGAAATGATGAAGCTGGACTAGTAGGCTGCACAAGAAAGCCCTGAGCTGTAAACCTGGCTTCTGTTCAGATTTTTTTCTATACAGGCTTGTCCAAGGTCACTTCTCTGTAAGCCATCTTTCTCATTTGCAAAATAAGAATACCTGCATGTCTTGGGTTATTTATGCTGAAGTTTAATTAAAGTTCATAAAGCACTTTTGGAACTTAACATTGTAAAAATGCTAGAGGAAGATTTTTAACATTGATAAGGAAAGAAGAGACCCATGATGCACAGGAAGAGGAACCTTCACATACTAGACAGTTAATGTAGTTAGAAGAATTGACAAACTTTTGGTCAGTCTTTTTGGTGGACTGTTTTCCTGAATCTTGTACATTTTTTCCTGAACAATGAAAGTTTTCAGAATTTTTACACTAAAGTTTTTCTTAAAACACAGCTGTACAACAAAAAATGCACGCTGTGAAGATTTTCACAAGAGGCTTACTGATTTCCCACATTGCATATGTCTAACTATGGCTCTAAATCATGTGTCAGGTTAAACAATCTGAACAAATTACAGTATGGAAAACTGACCATCAATTACAGTGGAAAAGGAGAACCCATTTTTATTAAGTACTCTAACTTAAAAGGATGACTCCTTTGCAGAAGCGTGACTGGCTCTAATCAGGCAATGAGAAGAGGAGATGGACTTCATACGTTTCTTTCCATGTGTCATTCTCTGTCATAGGTGCCAGTCACAGTCTGGGTTTAAATTTTTGCTCACAAAAGGAAAGCATATGTAGTGCCTGGAATAATTCATATTGTTGGCTGGGATTTTTTCCTTGCACTTGCTGCAAATATTATTGTACTGTATGGGTAAGAGTCTCTTCACCTCCTCTGATGCCTTGTGACATGACCTGGTAGAATTACATAGATGCTTGAAATGAGTTCTTTTGAAGTCACTCATAAAACAGTGTCGAGGACTTTTGGTGAAAATGAGAATAAGATTCATTGAATATATCTAGGAATATTCAAACATTATCACTGTCTGCCAGATTCTTGTGGTCACCTCGATATTAAACGCTGCAGACGTAAAGCTCAGTGAGGGAGGTAGTGGCTCTATTCATAAGTGCAGTACATTCAGAAATGAAGTCAGCTGCGATGGTTCTCAGTGCACATCTGTTAAATTCTAGTTTATTTTAAAATAGAATATCTGATGACAATATTGAAAGAATTTTTAAACAGCATTAAAATTTCTTGAAGACAAATCATTTGATTGATTTGATGTTATTGCATAGCACTATGTATATATACTGCCAAAAAAGTCTGGTTTTTTTAAATGAAAGACTGAAGAACCCGGTCAGATTTTACATGTGATCTAGTCTGTAGTGTTTTTATTTATAATGAAATTAATTTTAAAAATTGTATTAGTTCTTCCTTTTGAACAAAATCAGTACTTTATAATAGCGTTTCTGCTTACTGCCTTGCTGCATTTTGTTCTTATTTCTCCATGTAACTGGAGTTTAATGTAGATGTAATATAATGTACTGAAATAAAATTGGACAAGTAAAAAATTCTAGTTGAAAGTCAGGAATATTTTTCAGCAGTAAAAATGTTCTCTTTTGGTTCCGTTCAAAGACCAAGTGATAGCACTACTCTTTCACTTGGGAGGTAAGTTAGTGGAAAGAATGTGTGAGTTCATCATATCTGAAATCCTAAATGTACTATCAATAAATTTTAAATTCCATTAAACTATCAATAGATTTTCAAATTAAATTTAATACTAGTAATCTTTTAATCGAAATGAAGGTTTTGTTCATTTGTTTTGCTACTTATTCTTTTTTTCTTATAGGAGTATCATCATTGCATTCAAACATAATAAAAATATATACATCCAAATAAAGTACTTGGGTCACTGAAATATGAAGAAAAAGCATTTTATTAAGGTTTCTAATGAATAGTCAATAGTTACCATCAGCCACACTTTTAATTTCCGTATTAATCTTAACTTATTTCCTTTTCTTCCAGTGAGGAATAGTCATACCTGTGGGTATTTTTTTTAACATGAGTTCAGCAGTAAAATAAACATTGATTTCCAAAGTCTTCTTTCCTCCTTCACAAGTGATGTTTTTATTTCTTTGCTTTTCATTCCTGTTGGCCTTAAAGTTCTTTGTAACATTTTTGCTTTAGTGCTTTAAAGAAATACTAAATTTTTGAATACATTACTACTTGTTTGGGTAAGCTTGTAAAATAACCTAGCAGTGTAACTGATAATCTGTATTTCACGCTTATTTAAATATGCATCCATCAGTTATTTCTAAGTATACTGCAAGTTCAGAAATAGCTGAAGGGAAAATGTGCATGACGTGGCTGAGCGAGTTTTGGACAGTCTTTCCACTCTCCATAGCATTCATGCTTTGTAGTCATACCACTTACACATGAGAACTGTTAATAGACAGATTTTGTGTTATGGAAGACTGAGACTGACAAACCAAGAGTCTGTCAGATCCAAGAGGAAACGAATTCCAGAAGTCCTTTCTCAAGAAACATCCTGCCGTTCCATATTTTGAAAAAACACCCCAGAGATTACTGCGAGAGGTGTCCTTGCTGATTTCAGATAGATGGATATGCATCATACATATGTGTGCTTGATCTCCAAGATAGTGAATAGCTAGAATCCAAAGGTTCTGTTTTTTTAGATGGAAGTTATTAAGTGAAAGTCAACACTTTGCTTGATCCCAGCAGCTGAAACGGAAAACAGAGCAGTCTTGTGGATCACAGAGTTCGTGTATGCAAAATGCCAAATTTCTTCTGTAAATTATTTATAATTATTTCATTGCAATTATTTAATATGCATTTGCCTGTGTAATTTGACTTAATGACATTAATTATTATTACAGAATAGAACTGACCTCTATATGAACATAGACCAAAAAATGATCCATGTTTTTTTTAATGAATAGTCTTTCATTAAAGCTTGAAATTTCTGTGAAGTCTCCTTTGAATCTATTAATTAGTTTCTGGCTTCCAGGCAATTAATATTGGCCTGAAATAGTTCATATTTGGAGTCTCATGTTGTTTTGGCCTCTGTAATATGAGAGTTAGACCATACAGAAGGTCAAAAAGTACAAAACAAACATTAGTTAGTCTCTTTGGGTTACATAATTATTTAGTTCCTCACCAAAAGGGGAGGAATGCTCACCAGGAGAGAAACAGATTTACACCAGCTGTGTGGTATAGTAAAAATTCAATCACTGTAATAATAGTAAGAACAGCATATAGGTGATTTTCTTAAGATGGAAAAGGCTCTAGAAATATTTTTAAATGTAAATACTAGTGCATATATTGTATCTGTGCAAATATACTCTAATGTATTTTTGGAATTTACTATGTCTGCAATTTTCCCGTAATACAAGGCATGACATTCATTTTACTGAGCTGATATCAATTTAACATTGGTGTAATCAATTGTATTGATTACAGTACATTAACTGATATATTTGTAGATGAGATGAGATGCAGATTATCTAAATAACAGAATGTGTGGATTTTACTCTGTTCATGTATTATATTCTTAGATACTATCTGTAGTTTATTAACTCCAGACATAAAATTGTGGTTAAGAAAGTAATGTCAGTCCAGTCCATTGGAATCTTTCTAGAAAATTACTCTAGCTGACTGTGGTGAAAACAGCTTTCTAATTGCAATCAGTTTACTGGTTTTGATATCTACCCAGCTTGCCTGCTACTAACACAGAATATATTCAAAAACTCAAGCAAATTCAAAGCTTATTTTTAGAAAGAGTAATACAGTTTGACTCTCTTAGGAAAATCAGGCCTTTACCTGACAATACTGTAACCTCAATGGATAAAGTACCAACCCATCAGTGTCTTAAATAAAAGCTCAGAGCGCAGATGTTTTCCAGAAGTGCTATTATGTAGTGTTCATACTGACAGCAGCACATAAATTAGTTTAAAAGTACTAATTCTAGAAATCACCCTGGTATTTGCTGTGTCTGGGGGCTGTTCAGGAAAGCAGAATCCATCTTCACTCATTGAATTCTGAGCTGTAGTGTGCAAATCAGCTGTGGTATTTCAGACACCTGGATAAATGGAAGGATGTAAAAATCACATTATAATTTATTCAAGGAAAGAGGAAGACAATCTGAAGACAGACAAACAGCTTCTTATTTTATTTTGCTGTTGTTGAACTGTGATTTTACAGCTGAAAATATGAACAAAATCATTGGTAGTTCTTTTGTTGGCCCTGTGCAAATTATAATGAAAACTCACTGATTTGACTTTTTTTGTTATTTTCATTTTTGCTGTATGTCTGTGTTTGAAAGATGTCAGTATTATCATCCAGTATCATTTTTGCCTACTATAATTACTGCTATTATCATTACCATGTTTTTATAAAAAAGTGAATTAGCTGCACAGTACATTTTGCAAATATGATCCTCATCTCACTTTTATTAGTAAAAGCCAGGAAAAACTAAACTGAAGAGAATGTAGTTACTTTGATGAATGGTACCTGGCAGGAAATTCAGCCTGTGAAAGTTTGCCCATTTTTTATTGAATATCACACTTCTACATTCATGTTAGAAAAGGAATAATTTCTCTCTCCACTTCACTCTGTGAATTTCTTGCCTGTAATGCTGAATATGCAATCCAGATCAAAACCGAGGAGTTACAAATCACTCGATCCAAACAAAGCCTTACAATCAAATAATACATTCAAATTTAAAACACTAAAAACATGAGGAGGACTGTAAAAATCAACTTAGTTAACAATATGCAGTGATTAAAAAGAGCTAGTGCTTTTCTAACTGTGGCAAGGAAGATGTTTCGAGGTAGTGTTTTGCCTTCTACCTCTTCTTTTGTTTCTTTGAGGCTTTGGTAGAGCAGTCTTAAGCATACTGAACTCAAACAAAGTGAGTTGTTTCAGGATTTAACGTTATGGTGAATGCCTATACATGAAGTGACTACTTCTCTGTATCATAGAGTGTAGGTTTATTTATGTATTTATTTAAATCCTTCTTCTGCCTAGTTTATGGGCAAGATTAGGATACCAGCTTAGAAACTGCGATAGCTGAAAAGCTGCTGTCTGAGCAGCAGAGCTAATGACTTCTGGTTTCCTACAGTTCTGTGTCCTTTTTCCTTCCATCACCGCTGCAGTACCTCTAGCTCCCCCTCACCCTGCACAGCACCATTCTCTTTCTCCTAGCACCTGCTGGTCTACAGGCAGCATGGGCTGTAATTCATTCCAGGCCAAGTCAGTGCTGACGGCCATCTGGTAGGTTTAGCAGAGCAAGTAAGTCTTGAAGTGTTTAATTGAATGTAATGGGAATTAAAGTCACTACCAGAAATTAATGTGACTTGCAAAACTCAAACACTAGTAGAAGGGAACCTGAAAAAGCTGTTGGTTACAAGATGCAGTGAGGGTCCAGCTCAGAAACGGACTTTTGGATTCAGCCCCATTTTAAAAATAAATTTAGGTCTATGCAACAAAGTCAGGAGACACGCAGCTTGAGAAGTTTGGTTTTGCAGACATATTTCATGAATGCATTTATTAGAAATTGAATATACCTGTACTGTAGTTACTATTCAAATCTCAGCAATGTTAGTTTACTCTTTAATCTTGCTAAAGTTAATAGCTGTGTTTTTCAAATTTCGTTTGAAAAGTTAGCAGATTCTCTGCTCATACGAAACACGTAAAACCCTTCAGCTGCTATTTTCTTTACGTCTTACAAAATACGAAAAGCCAACCAGAGCTGTTTTGATGTTCTGTATATTCTTTTGCTTACAAAACAAGTGTCCCTTATTTTTGGCTTGTCTTTTTTATAAATTAGTTAAAATTGTCTGATGGTAGTATAGCCTGGTAAACTGCTACGAAGAATTACAAATCAAATGTTGTAAGTATTGCAGTTGTCTTTCACATGCTTCTTAGGCAGAGCCTGCAGGCTTATACTTTACATTGTTTTGTTCCTGTTGTGATTATTTAATTTTTTTTGCTCTCCGTTTCACTTGCTGTGCTACAGTGGTTCTTCCACCTGTAGTATTTAAATGCTCTTATCAGAGTGCTAACAATTATTTAGGAAAATATCTTGTCTAAACAAAAGTTAAGTTAATCATATTCATTGTTGATTTTATGTTGATGATTTTTGGTATACTAGGTATTTGGGATAATCTTATGACAATAAAAGAGTACTGAATAAGGATCCTGGCCATGTGGGCCGAATTCTGTAAATTTGTGCATTTAAGTTTAGGATCGGGAGTAAAGAAACTACCGTAAGTAGACTGCTATATTCTCGTCTTTATCTTCTGAGAATAAGTCAGCTATTACATACCTAAGGGAAGCTTAGCTTAGCTGGTAGGACTGCATTACGGTGTTGAGCTTTAGGATCCTTGCAGCAGGTCAGTGGAACCAGGCTGGAAGAGATTTCTTTAGACTGAGGTAGGCTATTCCCCTCTGAAGAGCTGATAAGCACCCATGCTTATTGTAAGGAGCTTTGTTTATCAGATGAGCGCTTATTTCAGCATTGGTTCTCATATGCAAGACTGAGTCTGTCTTTTTAGTTAGCCCTTAATACTGGGTTTTTTAGGAAAATGAAGAAAATTACTTAGGTTAAAGCACCAGTAACGATTTTAACAAAAAGCTTTGAAATAATGAGAACTGGATTCTGGGGATTTAGGGTAAATGATGCTCACAGGAGCTGGGTGAAACTGAGTAGCTAGTCTAGCAGATTTTTATGTGACTTGAGCATGAGCCATTTACATTTATTTGTTTTGCCAACTTAAAGGCAGAGAGGGACAGTTTGGTTAATAGGCTGAATAGCTGCCTACCATATATAGTTGACAAGAAAATCCTATTACTAGATGCAAAAAAAAATCCTAGCCACATAGTTGAAATATTTGAATAGTCAAGAAAAATGTTTCCCACTCTTTAAAATGGAATTGTATATTTAAACGCATTTTAGATTGTGTCCATTACTACTACATGTGCACTTTTTGGTGTTCTATTGCTGCAATTTAGCGTTCGAATATTGAATTTATATACCATCTAGAGTGGATAGCTTAAGAGATTAATATATTCAGTCGGATACTAAGCTTCTCCATGTTTGGAAGCAATTCTGGAAGCTCACTGTCACTCACATTGTGATAGCCTTACCTTTTGTTATCTCTTAGATACTAAAACTGTGAGGGTTTTATTTCACCAATTCTTTTAAAGCTGTTACTGTAATTGAAGAGAGATTGCTTACGTATTTCACAGAGAGCACACACTCTGGAAGGAAACGGGGAGGCTGAAGTTTAAAAATGAGCAGGCAAAGAAAAAAACTGCAAAGGAGTTATACTGACGATGTTTTTAAATATTGTTAGATTATCCGCATGGCTGGTGTGCGTAGAATTTACTATTTACAATAAAAACATGAAGGCAACTGTCTGTTGCAATTTTACCCTTACTGATTTTATTTAGATGACTTTAGTATTAGGCATTTTTCACTGATGATTTAAATGGGATGTTCTTATTGACTGGGTATGTGTTTTAGTTCTCAGTACTTATTCAGGCTGATCTTCCATGTCAGGAGCTGTGTCAGTACTGAATTACATGATCATGCTATCTCCTGCTAAGTTGGATACTTTCTGGAGTTAACGGAGGACCCTAATGAATTTAGTGGGTTCTAGATTAAGTTTTGTTGAGGGCAAAGCATGGCTTTGTGTACTTTTCCTGCAATTGTAGGCAATTTTTTAACAAATAATTTATATTTTTAAACATTGTGATATAAAATAAGTATTTATAGACAGTATAAATAAATCATGTAAGTTTCTTTCTCAAGAAACTCAATTCAAGATTCTTCATTGATCCATCAAATGAGCAGTATTAGAATCTTTGTGGAATATGTGGTCACAGTGTTTTGTCCCTTTGATCAGAAGGACAAAGTAAGCTCTCTTAAAAAAAAAAAAAAAAAAAGACGGGTTAGGCTCAGATTCATCTAACCACTAATCTAAATGACATCCAAAGAAAAATTAAACTTGGACTAATAAGAAAGGCAGGTAAAAATCTACTGGTTCCACTGTTATCTGTGGCAGTCTAGGTCTTTGATTGATGGAGTCAGGGTTTCATCAAAGGTAAGAGTTCTCTTTTGAGGAGGATGTAAATTTAATATGCTCATAAATTTTGGATAGAAATTGCTGTTGTACAGTTATGTATTTTCAGATACAGAGTAAAAGCAATCAGTTACCTAAAAATGATTCTTCCTGACAAGTTGATATAATTTCTTGTTGATTAGATTTAAGTTTCAAGGAGAACACAGCCCAAGACCTACATAGCTTGTTTTGTATGATAATATGCTGTGATTGTCTAGACTTTAGAACAAAATGCTGAGAGAACGAGAACAGTGAAACTCTTTTTCTGCTGTCCCATTTCTGTCTACCATAGGTCATAATCTACAACAAGGAAGAAAGTCACAGACAAGAAGTAAAAGTGAGTACTGTTTTATCACTTTATTTATTTAGGCTATGAATTACTGTGTAACTGAAGAAAGTGCTGCATATCATACTGTCTCATGATTTTAATAAGGATATCTGGACACCTCATTTTTTATAGTGTTTTCAGGCCATCCAATTTCCCTTTTAGTGGTAATACATAAAATCCATGACAAGAACTTCAGCTGAAATGTAGAACGTAACCGACTTTGTGTCTTTGTCACGTAAGCATTTTCTGTGAACACAGAGGACATTTGAAAGATTGAGGAGAAACATCATTAATGATTTTAAACATGAACCTATCTAGTTAACTTGGGAAATGGAAGCCTGACAATACTGTTTGGTTTCTTGATTTATGGATGGCCAAGATATTTTTAAAAAATTGAACTTGATTTTGACATGAAGATGGCTAACCTTAGCTATGACTTTTTATGAATCTGTACTATTGCATAACACAATTATTAACCATTTCTGCTTGAATTCACTTCTGACTTTAATTTTATCCCTTGCATTTGATGGCTTAGGCCTTTTTCTTTTTTGATAGGTTTGAATATGCAGTATTGAAGATATGGAAATACATAACATTTTTTATTGCTTGTTTTCTGTAATTAAATAGTCTTCCTTTTGTATCCACATTCTGTGCAAGAATTACTCTGATTATTTATTCTAAATAATTATTTGTACCTCAGTTATTGAACAAAACAAACAAGGCTGCCAACAATGTGTTTTACAGGATGTGGACATCGAATTATTTAAAATGCTTTGCAACATAAATTGGAATGCACTGTGCTATGATTTAAGTGTGCTTCTGTGTGGTTACTCAGGAAGCTGTTAATAAAAAAAAGAAAGGAAAAAAAAGTAATTTTACTGATACCTGCGGGAAAATCTAGAATAGTGGTCATTCATATTAAATTTATATCAACTTTATGAGGTTTTTGTCATCTTGACACATTTATGGAGCTGTTAAATTTTAGCTGCCTAGGGGATATAATGTACTTGATGTGACCCCACATATTAAATCGGGACCATACAAGTAACTCTGATGACATGTCATTCAAGAATAAAACAGAGCCAAGTCTTTCTTTCTAGAGGAAGGACATATCTGAAAGAGAAATAGGTAGAAAACCAGATATTATGATCTATATCAGAAAGAGACTTGAAAAGGGAAAGAATGAAAATTATATGGACATGTAATCTGATACCTTAGCAAACTTCTGCTACAATTGCTCATGGGTGATAAAACAGATATATAACTCATTCTACAGTAGCCTAAGATACCTTCCATGTCCCTGACATACAACCTGAGTGGGCAGATACACAGGATTCGTTTCACGTTTCAACATTATGTACTTTATAGAAGCTATGTTTTAGGTATGGATGTGCAAACGAACATAAATAAGCTCTATTGAGGCATTATTATTATCACTGTGTTGCCATTACTTTGCTTCAGAATTCCCATGATCATTAAGTTGGATCAGATCCAGTTTAACAATAATTTGGGTGGACTGAACACAAAACTTTTTTGAAGTTTAATTTATTTACTTTGAAATACTATCCAATAGCCAGAGAGTGTCAGTGTACGTTGTAGCTCACAGAGATCAAATTTAGAATTATTCCATACAGAACAAAATTATTACAGTTCTGTATCACTGATCAGAAAGTTTTCAGGCTCACCAGCAATTAGTTCGTCATCAAGAAAGTAGATATGTTTGTTTCTACATCTCTGAGCTTTGTACTTTATTCTTAACAATCAATGACAGAAAAAAAGTGGAAATTCTGTACCGTTTTCAAAAAAATGACTTTATACTTAACACTATCATATTCTCTAGAACATACGAACTTTTTGCCTAAGATTTTAGATCAAAAGGAAACTCTTCATCTCTAAATATTTCTTTAAAAAGTTGTTTAACACAGAATTCTTATTTAGATTCCAAGTAATATGGACAGTAGTACAAATAATTTTCTTGTCACTTTCAGTTTTTTCTAATGTATTGTAACAACCTAAAATGGCTGTATATGTGAAATATCAGGGTTAATTTACTGGCTTTATTCTTACCAGACCTTTTATTTTCTCTGTGGTAGGGCACATTCCCTCTTGTGTCAGCAAATGCATTCTCTGTGCCACAGCCAAACTCCTCCTGTTCTTCCTAGGTACTGTCCACATGGTCATGCACATAGCATACAAGGTCTCAGTAGGAAACATGGATTATATAGCTTTATTTCATTTACAGAAATGTAAAGCTGAGCATTCACATTTCTAAACATGATACTTGTTCAGTATTTGTTGAATCGAATCATAACCATGCAGTGATTCATAGCTCATGCTTTACAATGTCCAAACTCCCTTTACATGTTGTTTTATGTAAAGCTGCCAACACCCTGATGGTTCTCTGACTGTAAGTGTTCTGAACCTATCTACCTTGCCAAACTGGTATAAAGAAATTTTTTCTGAAGATGTATGCTTGCTCTGGTGAGCGTTCATTGCAAATTGTTTCTGCCCAGGTAAGAAGTACCGTGAGTATAGCCTCTTCTTGAGTATTTTAATACCTTGGTTTTCTAACTGAAGCAATTCAAAGACACGTGAAAACATAAACGAGAGTTAGTCAGTTTCCATACGTTGGGGGTAGAGAATCTAGCTCTTTGAATTCCTACACCTTTTTTCATGATCATTACTGTTCTTAATGAATGGAAATACTCACAAATTATGGAGGCCACTTGAGGGCTTTTTCCAAAAAGGAGTGCTGCATTGTGTAGGAAACAGGAGTTCTTTTATTCGTATAAGTTCTGGAGTGCTTGTGTAGGTCATGGGCTTTAAAAGGTTATTCAAACAGTAGAAAATAAATGCAGTAGACATTTCAGAGCTCAATATGTCTTTGCTATTTCAATTAGTTGTATTTAAAACATTCTAAATGTAGTCCCAACATCCTGTAACATAATATCTTTTCTGTGTCCAGAGAATGCTGCAGATAACAAGCTATGACTAATGGTAAAAGTAGCCACGAGGTTTTCTTATTAGAGTAAATTTCTTATGCTAAACAGGCAAGAGACAGACAAGTTCCACAAATCTAGTTTAGTCCACGAGTCTTCTTGGCAGGTTGTAAATTAAAGCATCCAGAATTTTTCATCTCACTGATGAATGAAATGGGAAACAAAGGTATTAATATTATCATGTCAAAGATATATGTGCACTCTTGTGCCATATATTACATATATAGCACTGAATTTTAAGTAAGCTTCTCTCATTTATGTAGCCATGTTAAAAACTTAGAAGATTACCAGAGAAGAGCAGTGGATATCATTTTTATACTAATAAAAGCCCTTTTTACTATGTCTTCAATGCCTGTGTTATCTATGAACATAATGTCAGCAATTTTATTCAGCTACTTTTATTTTTATTGTGTTAGTGGGGTTTTTTTGGCTGTTCTTTCCAAAGATGCATTGCAAATTCAGTTACAACAAAATTTCCCTATGTAACTTTGTGCTTAGTTTGTGAGGACAAAATAAGAATTTTTAAAGAAAATTGAATAATCTGTGTATTGTTTACAATTAAAAATAGAATATGTGTCAAAACTGAACTTTTCTACAAATGCATCCTTGGATCTAGGAAAAGAACACCTGCATTACAGAGACTTCTCTATTGTTTTTTCCAGTAAATGATAGACTATCCATAATCATTCTGCTCTGGGCCACATCTGTCCCATTCAAGTCAGTAACAAAGCTAAAGCTGGCACAGATCAGTGCAAAATGATTTTGAAAACCATGCCAGAACCATATTCAGATTATGCAGTTATGGTATAATGCATATTATATATGCATTGTATAGAGACAGAGCACTGTTACTTTGCACTTATGACTTGCCCTAATAAAAAATGTAAATAAGTTTACCATATTTTGTATTCTATTTCTGACAAGGTGTCTAGATGTTGGTATCAAATATTTTAGAAAATGAGGTTAAAGATTTCAATTTTTACCTACTTAGTCATAGGTCTTTGGAAAACAAGTCCTCCATGTTTCCGGCTAGTGGTGGAACAATTCAGTCAACAGTCAATTCAGATGACAGTGTTGTCATCGGAACTGGGGCTTGGAATGTGTGTATATGAGATGACTCTGTTACCATGACAAGAAAATCTTAATGAAATATTGAAAAATGACTGTTCTGAGCAAAAGTAAAGCAGAGCAAGTTTATCTATGATCTGATCTTTTGACAATTATATTAATAAGAGCTTCTGGTTCCAAGATTCGTACAGGGTTCAAGCTATGCTGAAATTTATCCATTAGTTATCTTATTTTTTTCCTGTCCATGATCCAGCTGTTTATCAACAGCCAATCTGACAAGATGGGTCTTCTCACTCAAGTAGATGATAGTATTTCATTACAATTTCCATTATCATAGAAATAGAAAAAAAAAATCTGATCTGAAAACTGTGTCAAAATATTTAAATCTAAATTACATGAGTTGAAATATTTAGCTCATGCGTCTGATTTGGGTCTATTTTTAAAGTTGATGCTTTGAAATCATCTTGTGTTTTTTAAAAAAGCTGTTCTGTCAGAGTCTTCTTTATTTGCAGGATGTTTTTTTTCAGCTACTAACCTGTTGTCTTAGCCCTTTTTAATGGCTTCTGGTACTCCGAGTATCTCATAGTCAAGCTTTTTTTGTTGCACAGTATCATTAAAAAACGCTTAGGAGTCTCATATTTATTATGTACAATAAGGAGCATTTTATCTGTAAATGTCATTAAGAATGTAGATAAAATGAAGTTCATGGACAAAAAATGTCAGAGGCAAATATTCTGAGCTATGCAGCTTACCAAAGAAGTGGGAAGATGTAAATACTTTATTTTTTTTTTCCCAGACCAAATTCTGTTTGCCTTTCTTTCCCGCATGAATTGTCCCCAGGAAGAAGGTAGAGTTCCTTTACTGATTCAGTCTTGAACTGCTCTCTGTGCAGTTCTTTCATCCATATTTACAGACAAGAGACTTTCAGAGTGCCAGTGTTTC